AAAAAAAAAAAAAAGTATGGTGTTTAATTCTACATGTTTATCAATTTTCTAGTTTTTCTTCTGTTTCTGATGTCTAGCTTCATTTCATTGTGATTAGAGAAGATACTTTGTATGATTCCCATCTTTTAAAGTTACTAAGATTTGTTTTGTGTCCAAAAATGTGGTCTCTCCTGGAAAACATTCCATGTGTACTTCAGAACAATTCTCAAGTATATTCTGCTGTTGTTGGGTGGAATGCTCTGTATGTATATGTTAGTTCTAATTGGTTTAAGTCTTCTATGTCCTTATTGATTTCTCAGATATTCTATTATTGGAACCAGGATATTGAAGTCTCCACCTGTTATTGTGGAATTACCTGTTTTTCCCTTTGACTGTGTCAACCTTTGTTTCATATATTTTGTTGTTCTGTTGTTTGAAGTCTATATGTCAAATGTTAACCTATATAAAATGTCCTTCTCTGGCTCTTGTTACAGTTTTTATCTTAAAGTTTATTTAGTCTGATATTAATATAGCCACCCAGCTCTCTTTTGGTTACTATATACATGAAATACCTTTTTTTATCCTTTCACTTTCAAACTGTTTGTGTCTTTGGATTAAAAGTGATTCTCTTGTAAATAGCATATAGTTAGATAATATTTTTAATTATCATCTGCTTTTAAAATAAAATTCTGTCGGAATACAGAGATACCTATTTGCTTATATACTGCTTATTGCTGTTTCATGCCACAGTGGCAGAATTCAGTCATTGTGACCCAGGCAATATGGCTTTCAAAGCCTGAAATTGTTACTGCCTAACTCTGTATAGAAAAAGTTTGCTGACCCCTGGTCTAGAATGTCTTTTATAGTTTTCTTGGCTAACTAGAAATGGCTCTATATAGCAGTAATCTGGTGAGACTTGTCCCATGGAGTCTGTTTTGTCTGTCCTGAAGCTTGTGAAATGGGGGCAGTTCTAAGAGCAGAGCTAAGCATCCCCAAGGCCTTCTTTGGCTGAGAGGAGGAGTAGGCTTCTGTCCTAGAGTTAGAGTTGGTGGCAGTTTGACTGGGATATAGTCTTTTAGTGGTAAGTTGACTTGTAGGGTGGCCAATTGTTTGGGTTTGCCTAGGTCGAAAGTGTTCCTTGAACACAGGATTTTAGTTTTAAAATCTGGTAAGCCTGGGCAAACTGGGACTAGTTGGTCATCTGGTTGGCTGCTCAGAGTCTCAACTATGCCCCCCTCCCCCAGTACCATTCAGGGAAACCCCCAGCTACGCAAAGCGGCGGCGTCTGGCTGGCCCCAGTGGCTTGGCATCCCCTCGGCCTCTGCAACGCTCAGCCAGTGACATCAATCTGAAGGGGGAGGCACAGCCAGCAGCTTCTCCTGGACCCTCGCTGAGAAGCCTCCCCCACCAGCTGCTGCTCCAGCGACTGCAGGAGGAGAAAGATCGTGACCGGGATGGCAACCAGGAAAATGACATTGGTGGTGGCCCCTTATCAGGCAGAGGCAGCCAGAGCAAGATCAGGTAGGAGGTCTGGGAGGTTTGGAGGGAGGATGAGTGGGATGCCAGGACCCAAGTGAGGAGGAGCTGGCACCGGCAGTAGGAGAGGCCCAGTGTTCCTGGCACCTGCATAGTGCTGGGCTAAAGCTTGGGTAAGGGAATCCCCGGCCCCTAGACAGGCCTTCCTGGATGGGGAAGGAAAGAAGGTGAGGACCTTTAGACTGGAACAGGTACACTCATGCTGATCTCTGGTTGAAGCCAGTCCTGAGGATAGTGTTAGATGAAGAGGGTGTGGTCTGCTATGTAGCTTGGAAAGTTCACTGCAGTGTCAGGGTGGGCTGGGGTGAGTCAGGGCTGATGGCATGTGGTAAGGGGGTAAGGGGTGGAACTGTCACTCTAGGAGGGCTCAAAATCGACCACTTCTGCTCCCAAGAAGCAGTCCTGGTCTTTCCCACCCCTTTCCCTGATATACCTATAGGACTCGGGTTTCTGTTCTTCATCCTGATCCCCGGGGCCCTGAGAAGCCAGGGACACTTGAAGGAGTTGATGTCCCCAGAACTTAATAGTAGAAGACCTGGATGGAGCCTGCTGGCCTCTGTTTGCTGTGCAGTGGAGGCCGGAGTGGACACTGGCTCTCAGATAGCTATTCCATGCCTGGGTTTCCCAGGAGTGAGGTGGGACTAACCCTATTCAAGTTGTTATCTTTGGGAAGTTTCCAGAATGACCTGGGCAGTTGAGGGGTCTCTGCTGGGAACCCTGGTCCACAGCATAGGCTGGAGGCTGCTGGCTGAGGTATCCATTCTCCTGTGCCTTGAGGGCAGGAGCCAGATACATAGAAGGTGTTTGAGAGACATTGTTGAATGGAAGAAGCGACATAAACAGCACTTTGTTTTCACAAGGGCAGTTAGCTTTCATGATCTTGTCACCATGCCATGTCTATGGTGGGGCCAAGCTACATACATGTGTTATCTCATTTAACTTGGATGACTTGTGAAATTATGCTCTATTGATACCATGTTACAGATGAGGGTCCTGATGCTCAGGTGGATGAGGACTTGTCCAAAGTCACAGAGCTTAAAATCAGCTTAACTGGGACCCACATAGACTTGATTCCTAAACTTTCTAAGCTTCAGTTCTAACCCTCAGCAGAGGGCTTTAAGGTACTGCAGGAGCTTGTAAAAGGCATTTCTTCCTGCATGATAGCCTCTGTTTAGGCAGCCCTGACCTTGGGGATGTCTTTGGTCTCTGGCTCTGTCCAGACTGATGAGACTCCCCAGGCTGGCTGTCTAGTCTCAAATTTCAATTCTCCTACAAGCTTTTGTATAGTCCAGTGGACTTTCTAAGGGTTAGAAGAACACATTCCAGGATTTTCAGTTCTCAGAAAGGCTGCTCCCAAGTTGGAGCCATGTGGTTGCACATGTCCCTCCCTGCATTCATTTTTTTGTATTTGTTCCTTTATACTCTGAGCAGATGCAAAACTAAGAATTGCTATGGGGATGGCAGAACTCTGTTTTTTTTTTTTCTTCATCACAAACACTTATTGGGTGCCAGGGATGGTGGCAGCTCATAGTGGGGGTCCTAACTGGGTCTCACAGGGACAGCTGAGGCCCAGGTCTAAGAAGCATTTAGGCAGGCAGTGATCCAGGTTAGGGGCTGCCCTGGTGAGTGGACAAGGGTTTGCATCCCTCAGGAGAGGGCTGAGGCAGTTTGGTGCACTGAGGAACAAGAGGGCTTCAGGGGCAGAGGTCACCTTTGGACCTAGAAGAGAGGATGGGATCTGAGCTGGTCAGTGTGGGGCGGCAGCGGCTCCTTCTGGCGCCCCCTGTTGGCTGAGCTTGGCATAGAGCCCAGCACCCCAGAAATGTGGTCTGCAGAGTCGCCGCCACCCTGGAGTCACACTGCTGGCATAGGAGGGAGGGTTTGAAGTCAGTAATTTAGAATCTGCCAAATGAATAGGATTAGAGTAGTTTAGGTATTGGTAACAGCATGTGAACGGCCCAGAGAAAAGGGGTAAGAGGGGTTCCCACCCATGCGACTGGAGTGTAGCAAATTCCATGTCCCAGAAAGCCTGGCTATTGGCTGAGAATGTGGATCCTGTTGTGTAGGTAGTAGGGAACCACTGCAGGCCTTTGAGCAGAGCAAAAGTGGAAGACTGAGCCCTTTGCTTCGGTTCCCAAATCAGGGGAGTGGTTTGGGAAAGGTGGTCAGCATGGAGTGGGCATGGCCAGTAGGGGCAGATGTCCAGAATGAGAGGACACAGGTCTGGAGGGCAATTGGGGTGCCCAGCTCAGGACAGTGGTCAGGGTGTGAGGAAGAAGCCAAGGCCGGAGTCAGAATGGCCAGTCCCTTACCCAACCGCTGGGAGCACCCCTCCTTGCCGCTCTCCAGGGAAGCTCAGGCGGCTTTTCTGATGCCTGAAGCTTCCCTCCCCACCCCGATCCTCCCCAGCTCCCACCTGGCTGACCCCCATCCCCTTCTTTGCCCCCCCCACCCCCCGCAGCTTGACCTTCCCACCTCCCAGCCCCGCAGTCTTCCTCCTGGTGGCGGTACCCCATGAGGTCCAGGGCGGGGGTGGAGGGGCGGGCAGCGTGGGAGGGAAGAGGGGGCCGGCCAGTCTCCACCGCCCGCAGAGGGAGGAGCCCGGCCCGAAGGAGGCGGGGCGCGTGGAACGGCCACGGCATGGAGCGAGCCCGGCGCGCCCAGGAGCGCAGCCCCGCGGCCCCGGAGCCCT